TGTCTTATCTGCCACAACAGACATGGACTAGGAGATCCTTCTGGACTTCTTGGTGAAGATCAGGAGCTGAAGGATCCCAAAGCACTTGGCAACTTTGGTCTACTTCCTCTTGAGTTCTAATCCCCTCTGCTGCCATATGTGGAAAACTGGTGGGAAATCACATGATGTCTGGTGGCAACCATGGGATTTTGAAAAAATCCATGGGTAAGACAAACAGCTCCAAGGCTTTCATTTTCACAGATCTGCATCTTCTGGCTAAAATCCAGGTAGCTCTAGCCAAAAAGTGTGGGGGAAAAGGGCTGATTTGTGGAGTACCAGTAATTCTCAGCAGCAGTTATTCCTCCAGAGTCGGATTCTGAGAGGAACAGATGGGGACAGGTTTTTTTTTGATCTGGGAAGCTTTGGTGTTAAAATGTTTTATTGTCCTACAAAATACCCGAGGTCATGTGTGACACAGAAAATCACTTTAAATTGTGCATATCAAGGAGAATTACTTTCCTCCTTGAAGCTGAAAGAGCAATATGAAAGTGTGTGGGAGAAACATTCAAAAAGTTACTTTATGCTTTATAAAACATCAGTTGCAAATATTCACTTATCCTGCTCATTTTTAAATGTTACCCACGTTCAGCAAAATAACATCTTGCTAATCTAGGGCTTAAGGGAACTCTGACGACATCTGCTTAAGTGAGAGGGTTAGATTAAGACTATAAATATTGCACAGATGGGGCATAACAGAATAAACTTAGCGAGAGGAATATTAAGAGTAGGTTCCACAATATATTTCCTTACAGAGGGTTTTTGATTGTGAGTTAGCTACTTTAACTGCTTACATACAAGCTTCAGTGGGCCTTAGTTGTCTAGTTCTAAAGGGAAAAGATAATCCTTGGATAATATACTTCACTTTTTGCCCCGTGTAACAATGCCCTTAATTTGAAGAGAAGTGAGCAATTTGGGTTACGCCAGAGTGCTCTTTTATCTTTGTGTTTTATAAAACCTTACATTTGATGTTCTGTTATTCTTGTTCTAAAACGTCCCTCTTGTTGGTAGAATATGGTCTTGTTAGTGTAAAGGGCTTCACAGGGCACTGATAGCATCTAAGTGAACAGATTTTTGTTTTATTAGAATAATGTGAATTGGCTGCCTCACAAGCAGGGCTTTTCTAGGTTGTTTTTTATAAATGCTTTCATAGGTTCTAAATGTTTGCATATCATATAACTAGATCTTTATATTCTATTCAGCAAGTTCCTTTAAAAGCAATATTACTGTTTAAGTGGAGTTTTCATACTGGAGTCATCAAGACTAACACCCTGGATTGGAGTAGGAATCAGAATTGTGAGCTCTGGCTCTGACTTTCCTAAAGGACATTTTTGTGTCACTGTCCCCTCAGATCTGCTTCCACCATCTGTGCTCTGTGGAGGTGGTTTCGTGCACATCTGCCTTCTCCCAGCAACATGTGGCCAGGAAGCACCTCTAGGGAGGGATTTTGCTCCCTGCTACCATGAATAGCAATGGTATTGCTGTTCCATAAAGTGAGTGCCATTTTAAAATCAGGTTTTAAATCCAGAAAGAGCAAGCTGTTCCAGACTCTCTTTGATCTGATGGACTTCAGTGTCATTTGCAGCCTAAACCCATGCAACACCTACTTGGAGAGTTTACACCTACTTGGGTTCTGTCTATTACTTAAGCAGTTTAACTGTTGAAGTTTGTTTTCTTGGAAGCTGTGCAAAAGCTCATTGCAAATGCTTTTTAACATGACCTGAGGCTAATAACTAAGTCACACTTTAAATTTTTTTTTTGTCCTTTTCAAAACAAAAATTTAGAATTTTTTTTTTCTATAATGATATTCAAGGCTACATGGAATGAAAATGTTTAAAACTGGTGAGGAGAAACAACTCTTTTGTTTCTTGATTGAATGATCTGGGGCATGAGAATTCAATTTTGTAAAGAAATTTGCCACAACTTCACTCAGAACTGTTTTTAAAGTTTCTCTTTGTCATCACCAATAGCTAAGTTTTGTAAATCTCTGTTCTCTGTCTGCAGAATAGCTAAGAGGACATTTCAGAAGCTCTCCACATGATACCTCTGCTTGGAATATCTGGGTGCAAAGGGTGAATATTTATGTATATCCCAGGAAGCTGCTATGGTAAATGTACCTCTCTGGATAGTTCTTTTGAATTTACAGCTGCCTCCTTTTCCCCTTTGAACACAGTTTTTGCTTGTCCATTAGTATGTAGCCAGCCTTTGCCAGAGGCAGGTGGGCTTTGTCAGTGTTAGCTGTGCTAGTGGCCTGTTTTTCCCCTCCAGAGTAGCACCCCGCTAATGGCTCTGCTGCCCCTGGACTGGGCCCAATGTCTGCTTTTCTTAAAAAGAAAAGAAAAAAAATTATATTGTGTAGGTATAGGAGATAGGACTGAGTTAAAAAAAAAAAAAAGAAAAAGGCTTTTGCAAAGATCTGAGATGGTTTGGGGGTCTTTTTTCCAACTTCAATGTGGTTTGCAAAGAGTAACCATCAAATTCTTTACTAAGCCCAGGTGGTAATTTAACAAGTGCTGCTTTTCCTGTACCATGTATGCAGAAGAGATGCCAGTGAGCCTGTCTCACAGCTCGCCCTGCTCAGCTGGCAGTTGCTGCTTCAGGTGGATGATGAGCCCATCCCCAGCCTGGCTCAACATCAGCAGAAGCTGCAGAGCACACCACATGTCCCAACACCCACTGAGAAAACATCGATACCAGTCTTCCCATTCTGAAAAGGTTGCTCTGCATGCTGGGGAATATGAGGCTAAATTTCACACAAGTATTTGAAGTTTTCAGACTTTAACATCTGCCAAAGCTGCACCACTGCCTGGGCTGTGATGGATTCAATAGTTTTTAAGGCCAGAAAGAACCATTAGTCTGATCCCCTGAACAGAATAGGCTGGCAAAGGTCTTCATTACTCCAAAACAAGAATGATAATTGCATCTGATTAAAATGTGTCTTCCAGACCTCATGGTCCTTCTAACTGTTCCCCTTCCTCCCCACCTGCTATTTCTGTTTATTCACTCAGTGGAACTTCCTTAACATCCGTCTTTGGCTCTGTAGGAAAGAAATCATGGTCTTTAAACTCTACTGCTATGCACCCAGGATATATTTGAGGGCTGTAAAAACAACAAATAGAAAAAATTATAAGATAAAATATATATCCAAACTTACATGCTATAGCTTTTGAAGATCTCTTATTGAACTGTTGTATGAATTCTTAGTACTATACTCTCTATCCAAGTTATTTTTTAGTGTGAATAAATAGACAATATAGCTGTTGTGGCTCCTAGAGTCAGTACAGTTGAATGAGGAATAGCTTTTGCCCATAATAACCTTCTCAGAATGCTGGAAGATAATGAAGACCTCTATATTTTTTAAAATGTCATTTTATTCTTTGCTAACACAATGCTTATAAAAACTGCTGAAGGCAAAGTACAGCTTAATAAATCTTGAAACCACAACTCCTTTGCCATTTGGAAAACTGTAACAGAATCCAAGTGTTGCTACAGCAGGAATGAATAATTCATGGCAACAAGATTAAGAATATTGAAACTAAACAACTATCCAATAATACCTATGGCAATAGCAAGGTACAGAAACTCTCCTACCTCCTTGCAAGAACTTCATTGGGTAAACTATGGCATGATATCGGTCTATGCTTAGTGACACGAGGACATAAGTCGAGGCATATAGAAGGACCACCTGAGGCAAAAGGTAATGAGACAGCAGGTGAGACACATTTGTTGCAGAAAATAACATCAGTGAGAACGCTGAACTAGGAATGTTTGAAAACTTTTACTGTGAAAAAAAAGAAACCCTTTCTTTCCACCCAGCTCTTGTTCCTTTTTCTTGTCCACAAAATTAAAAAGATTGACCATGCTTTAATTAAAAGTGTTTCAACTCTAAATGAACACTTTCAGCCTTTAGCATGGCTGATGCTAGAAAAATGTCTATACACCGTTTTTGCTAGAGTTTATTGCTGTGGGGACACGAAGCCACATAACTTGGACATACAGGGAAGCACAAAGTTTCTATACCTGGAAGTAGCGAACCACTCTGCAAACAATATCAGGAGCCATGAAATCTCCAGTGTAGCGCCAAATGATGTCAGTCATTATGTTT